ATCAAAAAGTGGTAAGTCTAACCTTCAAAATTTGTCGCAATTCACAAAATTAAATCTGCACATTTTTTTCATATTTTTTCAATTATTTTGATGAAACTCAGTAGCCGATAGTTAGTTTTGTCCTGGTCCCAGAAAAAAAAATGTCATTGTTCTATTCTCAAAATGTGGTAAGTAAAGGATTACATGTAGTCAACTTTAAAAATTTCACAAACTTAATTCTGCACATTGTTGTGATTGGCAGAGTTGTGTTCGATCACAGTTTGATTCACACAAAACTATCCCACAATCTTTTCTCCAATTTTTTTGATAATTTTTGACCAAATGGATATCATTTTTTACTTGCTTTATGTCTTGATCAAAATGTTCGAAATTTATGAAAAAATTTGTGAATATTGACAAAAGTTTGCGTTCAAAGAATTCAACCTAATGGACATAATTTCCTATACAGGTCTTAATCAAAATTTCTGAAAAAAATAAGAAAAATATCCTGAATGGTGACAAGTTGACTCTTTTGCTCAAAACATTGAATCGGTGTCTTGCCAGAAAAATAGCATACATTATTGGCTATTTTATAAAACAATAGAATATGTTAATTGCCTATACTCATTGTTATGCTAATTTGGTTCTATTATTTATCCAAAATACAGTTAGGGACCCCATAATTTTTCTCACCAACATTTTGGTACAACATTTTAATACAACATTTTGATATTTAATGTATTTTTTCTAAAATTTGGGAATAATTTTGAGCCAGATAGACATACCTCCCGATTTGCTACAGACTTTCATCAAGATTTATGAGGTTTTAATGCTTTATGGAGAACCCTGGTTGAATACATAATTACTGTGACTGTAATTCACTTCATAATACTGATTTTCAGCAAAAGTTGTAAACAAACTAATGGGAATGTATGGTGACGTGGCTGCTGAGGTCAAAGGTCTTGGGACGCTAGTTGCTATTGACTGCGGGTAAGTTGACCCCTAAGTTTCTACATTTTAAACTATAAATTTGCATATGATTTGCATAAACCCCCTAAGTCTTTAGTTTAGCCAAGTATATAATTTGCATATGATTTGAATAAACCCCCTAAGTCTTTAGTTTATCCAAGTATAAATTTGCATATGATTTGAATAAACCCCCTAAGTCTTTAGTTTTTTTCAAGCTTATATTATGGGAAGTCTCTGCCTCATGCGACAACTCATTTGAATATTATTTTATTTTTTATATTATTAGTGTATACTCTTACATTTATGACAGAGTTCAACCTGTGGTCAAAATAAGTTTTTTTAAAGATCACTACACTAAAATAAATGTAACTTTTAGTTTATTGGTGTTTCTATTAGTGAAATGTTTTTAAATTGGTTGGCTGCCATTAAAATAACTTATCAGATTTCACTGATATTTACAGTATAGATTAATTCTATATTCTAATTTGCTTGTGATTTGAATAAACCCCCTAAGTTTCTACATATTAGACTAAAAATTTGCATATAATTTGCATAAACCTCCTAAGTCTCTACAAGTTTAGCCAAGCATTTTTTATGACTGGGCAAATAGTGAGAAGTATCTGCTTCTTGCGACAATTCATTTGAATATTATTTTATTTCTCTATTAGTAGTGTATATACACTTACAGTTATGGCAGAATTTAATCTGTGGTCAAAATAAGTTTTGTTTCTATTAGTGAAATGATTTTTTTAAATTGGTTGCCTACATTTAAAATAACTTGTCAGATTTCACCGACATTTACAGTATAGATTAATTAAAAAAATGAATATTAATCATCATAATGTTCTAATAATTTTTTACAATGATAAGTACCCATCTTATAACTAGATAATATTTTTTCATTATATGTATCCAAACAATTATTTTAGATTTCATGAGAAATTTTCACTAATGGTAAATTGCACCCCAAAAAAATCACCATTTTAATGGATTTTTTATAAAATGGATCGTATATTTTAAAATTTGTATCATTGTAAAGAATTATTAGAAAATTTATGATCATTAGTATTCATTTATTTATGAGTTAGGCCAGACTTTTTTTAATCCTTGTTTCTCGAGTTTTTATAAGGAAATTTTTTTGGAGGAGGGCGAAAAAAAAATAAAATTAATTATTTTTTCTATTAGATTTGTGTGATTCTCAAAGAATTGTAAGTGAGATCATTGATGTGAGAGAAGAAATGAAATAAATTTTATTCCATGTATAACCTTGTTTCTCTTCTGCGCGAGACTTTGGTACTTTGATCATGATACTCCCACGAAAAAAAGGGACTTGTTATGTGGCGGGCGGTAAAAAAATGAAGATAAAAATAATATTTTTTTTTAGCAATTGTTTGCGCTTACAAGTTGGCGGGCACGAGAAATTACGCTGAAGTAAAATTTTATTTTTATTTCATTTTTGGCTACTGTTCATTCGGCGGGTTCGCGAAACAAGGGATAATTAAAGTCTGGGCTTAATGCTTCAACACAGGTTTCTGTGTTCCAAAACGATTCATTTATAAGCAGTTTTTATCCAAACAAATATTTTATACTGTGATAAAAATCTTAAATGTTGATATCATGTGTAATAGTCAAGAATTATGCAACACTTTTGAAACGAAGTATTTGGATCATTTTTTTTTTGCAACTATTTATAATAGCTGATGTTTACACTATGGTTTTATTTTATTCTGTTGTTCACAAAACCCGGATTAAAATATGTGGTCACAAAAGTACTTTTCGCACAAAACACAGGTGTCCATGAAAATGGCGATTTTTTTGTCCATTTATCATTGGTTGCTATGGTGAAAATTGTCACTATATCTAAAAAAAAAATTTGGTGAAAAATATTGTGTTGCTATAAGATGGATAATTATGGTTGTGAAGAATTATTACAACATTCTGGTGATTATTATTAATTTTTTATGAAATAATGCTTCAACAGGGGTTTCTATAGAAATTATTCCAAACTGTTCATTTTTATGTTGTTCTGTTGTCTGCACTTTCTTTCAGAAGATTAAAAAAAAATAAGCAAGTTTTTTTAGTAAAATCTCAAAATTGACAAAAAATTTGTCTGTTGGCTTCAAAATTAGGGTTTATTTCCAGAAATATTGAAGAATACAAGAAAAAAAAGCAGAATAATTTGGGCGAGAAACTTTGAAGTCTGGTGGTGAAAACGTTAATGCTGTAACAATTTTCGCATACTTAATTTCCATATTTTAAATCTACAGTATTTCACTGGCAGCTAAATTATTGTGCTAAATAGATATTCAAATTTAACTATAGATTAAATTTTTTCCTTCACAATCCAGTAAACTTAAAAACCTGAGTATCCTATCCTGGCAAAATCAAATCTCCTAAAATTAAACCCAGTGAATATTTTATCTTCTTCAGTACCCTTTATGGAAGGTGATCACAGCAGTCATAGACTATATACCCTCAGTACTCAAATGATTACCAGTATTCGTTAATAAACAATGATCAAAGACCAAGTTTTAAAATAGTAGCATTTTGAAGGGGTGGGCGACAATGTCCATATACTTAGTTTTAATAAAAATTATTTGATTGTGTATTAACTCTGCGTTGCAGACTTTAAACTGTCATAAAAAGTTAATGAAAACTACACCAGCTTTTCTGTCAACTTGTATTATCAATGAAATTTCATCTCTGATGTAAATTATTTTTTCTCTTGCAGAGCAAACAAGAAGTTATGTAAAAAATTGAAAGTGTCAACAGAATCGTACACTTTGAAACATTATAAGTAAGTACATGTGTCTGTGCATTGCATGCATGCATTTTTAGTTTTCACCTGAAAAACAGCAATGCATGATGGGATATATTGTAATGAAGGCAAGATAATATTTTAGCTTCAAAATGACATACTGTAGGATACTTTATTTTTGCTTGGAATTTATTTTCGCTATTTTCGCTGAAGGGATTATTTCGTGAAAATAAAATCCAGCAAATATACTTTATTAGTCCCCGTTCGGACGTAGTGTGCCCTGTGTGCGTCTGTGCGTCCGTGATCACCTGTATCTCGAACATGCATGGACCAATTAAGTTCAAACTTCACTCATACATCACACATTATATGGGACATATGCACATGCATTTTTTTCATGATCCGATTAACGATAACTGAATAGTGGCCATTTTAAGGCCGAAAATGCATCAAAATCGCACATTTTCACCATTCCGGACCCGGATCTCAGTTATGCATGGATGGATTTTGTTCAAATTTGGTACATACATTAAACATAATAGGACCTTGATGCACGTCATCTTTTTTTCAGATCAAGTTTGAAACGGCCGACTGGCGGCCATTTTGTTTTAAAGAATTCAGTTCTGGATCTGTATCTGAGACATGTCTGGATTGATCAAGTTCAAACTTCACACACACATGGTACATCATGTCACAAATAGATATGTGCATTTGTTTCATGATCCACTTTAACAATAGCTGAATGATGGCCATTTGAAGGCCGAAAATGCATCAAAATCACGTATTTTCACAATACCGGAACCGGATCTCAGTCATGCATGGATGGATTTTGTTCAGATTTAGTACAATGTGTTGTACATATGCAGGTGCATTTCAGATCAGATCACTGAAAGTGGTCTGAGATTTCGGTCATGATCTGCTTTGAATGTATATGTCACTCAAATATGAACGGAACAGGGACGTGTCATTGACAATGACTTGTTTCCGATATTTCACATTAAACTCATCAAAAATCAGTGAAAATAAATTTCAAGCAAAACGACCAAAAAGCCTTTTCAGCGAAAATTTATTCCAGCGAAAATAAAGTATTCCACAGTAATATGTTAGCTTTTATTGAATATAACTATATTTGAGTTTTGGCTAAGTTACTCAAAATTGAAAAAAAACATTCAACTAATTTTAACAGCAATGCATGATGGGATATATTGTAATGGAGGAAGGTAATTTAGCTTATAAATGACATAATATGAATATAACTTGCAAATCTCATAATTTTTAGTTTTAAATTTCGCAGAAGACAAAATCTAAGCAATTCCGCAAGTCAGTGAAAATCAAAAAATTTTGTAAACTATAACTTTCACAAAATGTTGTATTCACGAAAGCCATAAAATCTTTAAAATCGGAAAATAAATATATGCTACTTGCCTGAATTGATTTTGTTTATGTATATGTAAATTCATATTGCTATGTAATTAAAAATAGTGGATTGGTGGCTGTTTTAGTTGTAAACATGCCCCAAAACTCATCACACATACTTCATCTGTCACAAGCTTATATCAGATTATATTTACTAGGGGCCACTATCATATCCTTGCTCTACTCATGTAAAACATTATTTATCAACTGTTTTTTTTCTGTTCTCAGAGACGGAGAGTATCATAAAGATTATGACAGACAAGAATCAGTAAAAGTAAGTTTAGCGTTTGAACAATCATGATTATTACTGTCACCGCGATATTGTTTTGAACACCAAAACAACAACAATACCAGATAAGTTGCCGACTGTTTTGCAATGTGTGTCTCGTGACAGGATTAATTAACTGGTTAATTCAAATCACTTTTATGAGGGTGCATCGTTAATTTATGAGCATTATGACATGCATTTCGTTATTATTTAGAAATTGACGCAATTGAATGAAATAAATTGAAAGGCAGTCATTAATTATCCACTGGTTATAATTTCGCTATTTTCGCTGACAAGTAAAATTTGCTATTAAAATAACAACATAGCTAATTTTTTTTCTTTGAAAAATTTGTGAAATTAAAACACAGTGAATATACTCAACACATCAAAATCAAAATGAAATGTCAGTGAAAATAAATGGTTAAAATGGTATTCAACGTGTTGGAGTCTACTATTTGTTTGACGTCTCCTGTTAAGGTTGGTTTTACCCAACTTGTTCTAATCGTGTGACAATCTCAACAAACCAGTTAGCAATTTGGATGTGTTGGTGTTTTGAACATTATGGCAGTGATGGACAGCAATCATACTGAAATTAGAAATGCCACTGCCATGCTCATATGAGACAGTTAATTTTAACTTCATCATATACTTGTTTGTTCTTGCAGTCCATGACAAATTTCATGAAAGACCCTGTTGGTGATGCACCTTGGGATGAAGACCCATTGGCTGGAGATGTACGTCACCTTGGTAACGACAATGTAAGTACAGTATTCAGTCATCATTTGGGTTTTTATGTTTTATTGTTAATTTATTACAATTATTCATTGAGGCTAAAAACCTTAATAAAGAACTTAAAAATAATAATAATGAATAGAAATTCATTTCTATGATGAGCAAGGAAGGTAGGACAGGTTTTGAACGTTCCAAATGCGCAGAATCGCAGTGCACCGAACATCAATGTTTCCAACTCGCAACGTGAAAAATCCCCTAAAATAAAACTGCCATCATCTTTCAACTAACTCGTACCAGCCTCTGAAAATTTGTACTCCATTCTGCATAAGCAAGAATAACGAGCATGTAAATTATCTTTGGCTATAGCGTAATATTTTAATATTTTTTGTGGGTATTTTGGGAGTTGAAAATCTATCAAATCACACTCATATTTAATATGTGAAAAACACAAGTACCATCTCTAATTCAGTCCAAAATCATCTTTTTCAACTGGAAATCTGAGCTGTCTTAAATAGTTCATCTAGATCCTTGTTTGTACCCACTAACACTCACTCCGCTATCTTTAAAAATCTGTTTCAAATATGCCGCTGACTTCTTCCGGGTTGCATGTCTGTCGGTGTTCTTTTGACTTTTTATATTTTTGTCCTACTCTTACCCGTTCCTAGGTAGGGTATGCATGCAATGGAATTACATCGCATCTGACAGTAATTCAGGAATTGGATGATTTAGGTGGGCATGCCAAGGAGCTGGCTCCATCAATCAGCATTCCTGTAACAAGTCGCAATGATTTCAAATTTGAACCAATAGAATTTGTTGTCTTATATAATGTCAGATTATTTGACAAAAACAT